GTCGGCTACCTGGCGCATGTTGAGGCAAGAAGTGCCCGAAGGCGATGTAGATGAGGACCCGCCAGCGCGCATCGATGAAGCCATCACGCGGAAGCAGCTGAGCGAAACTGAACAAAAACGAGCTGAGCGCGCGAGGCGCGAATTACTCTCGCTCCGTTGCGGCACCCCCCCGTGATGCACGGGATTTCCTCCTGAAAAAGGCCTGGGCCGTCCTCCCCACCAGACAACGCCTGCATAAATTTGGAATAGTCCCGGATGCACGTTGCCCGAACTGTCACGCAGTTGAATCGCAGGATCACGCGTTGTTACAATGCGTGGCGGTGAAACCCGTGTGGCGGATGGTAGCCCACTCTTTTGGTATCCGCCCACCTCCCCACCACATGCGCAACAAAGGTGCCTTCGGCCAACTTGTGCTGATCTTCACGATGCTAGCTATTTGGCAATGGAGATCGCTAGTGGAGGTGCGTAGAAAGCCTGTGCGGAGCGCGTTTCCGGTAGTCTCGCGTATCCGATGGTTGCTATGGGCCCACCTATCCGGCGAACTCGAGGCCAGCGGCGAGGAAAACTTCCTTCGTCGCTGGTATACCAAATTATTTTTTCTGAGGAATGGCAAGCTAGCCGCCCTAATCACTACCTGGTGACCCCCCTCCCGCTGTCTAGCACATGCACAAGGGGACTTGTATGTATATATATATATATATATATATATATATATATATATATATATATATATATATATATATATATATATATCTGTATAACCTTTTTCATTTCATCATCCCGTTTTCGTTGTTATTTGTAATCGATTCGGGCAAAGTGTTGAGTTAATTTTTGTATAGCGCCTTCTCCATTAATTAACGCCTTCAGTTAGTTTTTTACGGGCAGATTGTTGCTGATGCCTTATTTAGAGGGAGACAAGAGCCCCCCCCCCCCCCCGCTCCCTTGTACCCCTCCCTGCGCCTCCCAGCCTCAAGGCCTCTTTTATACTTCCGGGCATGCACTTACCGTGTACGAAAGCAGCATTGTTTCAGGCGACAAAAAAGAAATAATACCTAGAGTTGTATAGCGTTAGGTCGCTACTTGTTCCAATCGCGTGTTGAGAAGACCTACCGCCGCGCATGATTAAGCCTGCTGGAGCACCACGCGCTGTACAGTAAATAGAGGGATACATTCCCCCACATACATTGTACCTCGGTAGTGGTGCTTTCCTGATTGTACATGCACCCTTTGTAGTCGTGAAGCTCGATGTTTTTGTCATGTAGTTTATCCTTGGTTGGAAGTCAATAAACTTCTCTTTGTTGCTATCTCTGCAAGAGTGCTACTGTAATCGGACTTTCTGTTTACCGTGCACAGGTTCACCCAAATAAACAGTTAAATCCCAACATTAAGCCTCCTGTCTTCGGCCACGTCACTACCCCGTGACAATATGTTATACGACGTCGGCAATGAGAGAGCATCAGGTGGACCATAAAGACGATGAATGCGATCGCACTCGTGTCGTTACTGTTGTTCCTTCATCTTGGCTGCAGCTGTTCCTGACTCTCTATTTAGTTTGTAAATACATTTATTTTATTCATACTCTCACCCCCGGGACAATATAAATGTGAGAGACTCTGTAGCAAAAAGCCTGCATTAAGGGCTTTGGTCATTGAGAGGTTCTTTAATGTGCACCTAAATTTGAATGAAAAGGGCCTCACGTATTTTTGCCTCCATCGAAAATGCAACAGCCGCTCCTGAAAGTTCATCAGGTGACCTCGCTGTCAACCGGCGAGCATCAGGACTTCTGTGTGGTCACAAGAGACGGGGAAGTGGTTGAAGAACGCCATTGCGGAACAAGTTTGCAGTGGAACTAAGCCACCGTCATTACATTCTAAAGCTGTTTGCGTCACAGATACGTTGCGCTGTAAGGTTTCTTTAGAAAGCTTTGCACCTGCTTGAAGGTATGGTGTTCAGTATGATACACTGGAAACAACTGGCGTATTGAACGTCACGCCATATGCTGCTGTCAGACATCTCCCATGAATTTAGCAGCCTGATATGAGAAACAGTCTGAGGTAGTGCAATTTTCTTGCGGCTATTGTAACGGAGAAGCAAAATATAAACATTCGCAATCGCGAACTTGCTCACTTGCACTGAAATTAGAGATACGTATTTTGAAGTTTCCCTTAGAAGATTTACCAGCTCGCATGATGCAGGCTTTTCGTTACATTACGCGGTAGTTTGAAATTTCGCCATACACATGGGGAAAAGAAACAATGCCATTTAACAATATTACTTAAACCGGTGACATTTGCAAAACTACTAGCTTGTGCAGCTATTTGTCCCGTCTGTCTCTCATGCAACGGTCAGATATGCTTCAGTGGAAATTCATTGTCTCGGCTCCTACAAGATTTTCGATTGCCGCGTTTATATTTTTCACACGAGCCCATGTGGTGTAGCCTTCGCGTTCACCATCAACCTATATCGCGTGTTCTTTACAGTTTCAATTGTTTATAATAATTAAGAGCAACATGCGGTGGAGTAGACGATGCGGTGGAGTACACACCGCATCGTACCAAAAGCAAGACTTGCGCTCTTAAGAGACATGGCGATCGTATGCCTATTTACTTAACTCGCTGTTTATATGTACAAAGTTCGTTATTGTGGTTCAACGGTCGTTTTGTCTCAGGTGTGCTCTATTCTGTCGGCCTTGAAACGTTTTGCAAAAACATGGTCGTTCAGCTCATCATTGTGAATCCTGTTGAAACTGACACTTCCTTCAACTGCGCAGTCTGAAGAAAACATGAACAGCCTGTTTTCCCTGGCCACTGATGCCTGTTCCATGAATATATATTCTAATTTCTGCCATTCATTTTAATAAAGTCGCACCGGTATTTCTGAGATAAGTGGTTTTTAAGGTACACCTACCAACGTCATGATAAGTCGTTTAGAGTTCTATGATTTCTGCCAATGTATGAGAATTTTCCCAATGTAAATCACGTGGTGGGTTCAAATCCTTCTAGCGAATGTTAATAAAAGCGACCTCCAAGAGCATCGAAAGAGATGTGAAGTAACCCCAATACATTCAACTAACCTCTCGCGTCTTTGAAGAGAATACTTATACCACTTATAACAATTTTCGTGCGTGCTGGGGTTGCTATTTTGTAACATATTCAGTCGAACAATCACTGAATGCCTTGAAGGTCGCTGACCATGTGGTGGCTTCAATTTTTGGTCAATAACGTACTAGGAAATATCGTCAAAATTTTTATTCGAATATCTCGTCACATTCATGAGCTATTGGAAAAAAAACTGCTTGACACACTACAGAACAACCTCAGCTATTACGCAAGTGAGGTTGCCGCTTGCGCACCAAACTTAGTGTTTGGTCTCCTGCATCCTACAACAGTGAGCTACAGTGGAGCTCCTCACTGACGACGAATGTTAGCCCTAATAATGCTACTCAATGGAACAATAAAAACTGTTTAGTATTCAACAACGTTACTTTTGAATACAACGTTTCGTGTGCAAGAATACATACAAGCAAATAACTTGTAAGTTTTCCTCATGACGAATGCTCGGTAGATTGTCCGGAAACATCGATGAAGAATATTGGTTTACAGAATGCAGTACGACCATTGCATTCACTTTAGCTTGCGCATGTTATATAGGTACGTTAGTGAGCATCACAGCTGATAACCTAATCAGTTTTCATAGATAAGAGCGCACTACTGCGATGGTTGTTACGATCCAGGCCTGAGACACATTGTACTGTGAAAAAATCCACGCTGAAGCGCTGCGTACGTTTGGTTAAACAGCGAAATTGAAAATTGGGGCCGCCGGTGGTAGCAGACATAGCAACAGAAGTCCCACAGCTGCTCGAGAAGTGGCAGCCAAAATTGGGGGTTCGTTCAAGCAAACGCGCTTCTGCCATCGCCAGGTTGAAGGTACTCCGCCCACCACGCCGTTTTCTCGGCTTGCCATTGCCCTTTCATTCGGTTTGGAGGAGTGCCGGATTTTCAGTGCGCTCTTTATACTTGCGCTTCGCCACCTGGACCTGTTCTTGTGCCCGCACTGCTGCTTCAGTCCCGCGAACATAAACTCCCTCAAAGAGCTGCGGCTCTATTCTTCATAAGTTGTCTGCTGCCTGGGCGTTTGTAAGTTTAACTTTCCCTCAACACCAATCTCTTTACGCACCCGTGAGCCCATCACGAGATGTTTGTTTGCATGCCTTCTTTGTCTGGCGACCGGCTTGACGGCTTTGCCTAACTGAGAAGGAACCTAGGCGCGCATGCGGACACGTGAGGCCGCATTACCTCCTTTCCCACCCAGTATTTGTTCTCTTCCTGCTACATTTATTACTCCCTCTCCCCATTCTTATGTACTGCTGTTGAGTTGAGGTCCACTGAATAAAAAGTAACTATGCTGCCTTATTTTTTCTGCTTTTTAGAGCACACTACGTTGACACAACTGCGCGTGGGCTTAGCGGAACGGCAACAAAGAAATGGGAAACGTCATTGAAGACGTTCCCGCTAGGACGCGCACTTGGATGTGACGTAGACAATAACGTAACTTATGAAGCAGCCAATGGAGACATTTCTCGTCTGTCATGGTGATTGGTTTTAGTTTCACATAGCTATACACAGTGTTCGCGGTAAAGTATTATGGAAATAGCACTACAATATCACTATTTCTAACAAATAAAAAGACGATGTCATACGTAGATCAGTAGAGCAAAAATAAAGCAATAAAGTTGAAATGCAGCTAGAGCAAATAATAGAGTCATAAAAAAACATCCAAGCTAAGCTTACTAAATTATCGCATCTGACTCTACTTTCGCTGCATTAGGGAAGAATATGATTGTTAATGTCTTGGTAGTCGTTTTAGAGAGATCAGACTAAGATCACATCAACATGAGATAACTGCAATCAAAAACTCTTCGTTGTAAGTCTATACACAAAACTTGATTACATACTGGTTGAGTACTTGCAATGGCACTATCAAACTAAAAAAAACTGTACCTTCCACTGCCGCAGCTACATCGATAGGTTCCGTCAAGTACTTCGGGTCGATGATGGGCTTGTCGAAAGGGTCAGCACTCTTCAGTTTCACGAAACCACGAGACACCGGCCTGTTCATGACAGGAACTAGAGCAAATCCGCTGAGGTGTTTGTTGGGCTCGTAATATTGCTTGTAAACCTGTGTGAAATGCACAAGAATAGATTTGTAAAATTATGGGTACTTCATCCCTTTGTTTATTTTTAAAAGAAGGCATTTTTGCAGGTTCATTGAGTTGACACACAAAGTTTACCGTGAAAATATTTGCGTAAACATTTACCCGAAGCAGAAAGAAGTCCCCACTCGAGTTTCAAAGTACCTGAATATGAGAACTTACTAAAAAATGAGTACAATATTGAAGTAATAATCACTATGGGATAGAACACCTGAAAAGAACTATGACTACGAGAGACGCCATAGTGGAGGGCTCCGGTAATATTTACCACTTGGGCTTCTTTATTGTGCGCCTAAATCTAAGCGTACCGGCCTCAAACATTTTCGGGGTGCCACTGTCTGATATCTGAGCAGGTCGTGCTTCACATGGGTTGCACACGTTTCCACGCGCCCCCCAGAAATTTCAATTTTAGCGAATTCGCACCAATACCAGCGCATTCCTGATGTCTTCAGGATATTTCGCCCACCTTCTTTGGTGTAGGTCGACCAATTTCAAATACATTCAGCAGGTTTTCCGTTCCACCACGCCCACAGCTAATCAAGCTTAGCGTGCTGTCTTGCGCTCCTAATCTCATGACGCGGCCTCGCCACCCACTTCCATGAACTTGGATTACGCTCGCGCGCTGCCGTTGTGGCGTGAAGGGGATCGTCATGGGCACAGAAAAAACCCCGAATGAATCTGAAGCCAGCTAATGGCTTGTGCAAGTCAACAAGAGTCGTGCAGCCCGCACATCAAAAGAACCCCCCCCCCCGGCTTGCGACACTCAGGACGGACGACTGTCGTTCAATGCCACGAATAATGATACCGGAGTGACTGATCGTTCACCCACACCAGGCCAACGTGGGCGGTGACTAGTCTTCTACCTAGTGGCTGTAAAGCAACCTCGGCAGCTCAGCAATGCTCTCGAGCTGATCGTCCGCTCCAGGAAAGGACTCCTAACCTCCACGGTGGCCAACTTCCAACTATTCAAACTGGTTTGTACAGCAGCATACTTTCCCAAGGCCTGAATTCACGGCAAAGACCTCATTCAAGTAAATTCAAAACAAAACACGTTCGCCTAATGCACTCCGGCCGTCAAGCCACACGGGTACTGTGACTTAAAGAATTGGTGAATAAAACCCGAAAATACAAAATTTCGGTGTACTGTGCACCCGAAAAAAGTCAAGGACGTGGTTTGGTTGGAGGTGTTGACTTCGGCCTAGATTGCCAAGGTTTCCAAAAAGAATTATAGGACCTTCGAAGCTTTTCCATCATTGACTTTCGCGTCTGCAGAACACCACTGCCATGCTGTTGACTTTCGAGAAACTCCGTGTCAGCACGTAGATCTACCTTTGCAATGCCTGTAACCATTGCAACCTGCACAAGAAGTTCGAAATGTGTTACTGGTGCAGTGAACTGGGCAACAGAGCTGACGTGTGTTCCAGTACAAGGGTCAAGTGCCGAGACTGCGCTATCCCCGACCCACCCAGAGATCACGATTAGGGCCTGACGTGCCACCATTGCGAAAAACAGCATATCACAAAGTACAGCCATTGTATGGAAATATACAGGACCCCGTATATCATAAAGCAGCTCCAATGGGAGCCTCTCAGGAAAGAAGAAATCTTCAAGCAGCAAGATCAAGCGACTCAACGGTGGGCCCCCATAAATGCTCCAGTACTGGGACCGTCGCCAGTCTAGTAGTACCCAAGCGCATACAGATTGTGACTGCTCTTCATTCTCACACCTAGGGGCACATTCTTCCCACAAGTCATTACGGGCATCGTTAAGATCGAGGATGTCTATGCCTGCTACTACTCCACGAGGTCTACCGACAAGGAAGCCGCGTGAATATGCAGTTTCAGGAACTCATGAGGGATGCCGGTGGGTATGCAGGGAGGAACTACAGACACCTTTGTAACGCCTTTGGGCAATGTGGGGTACCCTTTGAATAAAGAATAAAAAATAAAGAATACGACATTTTAGAAGTTGATTACTCACCTTACTGCGGTAGCTCACAGCTTGTGCACAGAATTACAACAACAGAACAGTGCAAAGGTAGCGGTGCTTTTTCACATCAACCTTGCATAACAAAAGAACCCACATCCATCGCAATTACCACTGACTCGTTGGAAGGCACAGGCACAAAACAATAGGCCAATGAGGTGGGCGGGACACAACCGGTGACACGCAGGTCCGAATTGAGCGCTTCAAGTCGGCTCTGAGTATCAATGAAACATGCACAGACCACCTTTTGGCGGCTCTGCAAGTCACTATGGCGAAATAGTTTCAAACAGTCACAGCGCCGTTCACCCAGCAACTCGACTCGTTGGGTATTGTATTAGACGCTCGGTGTAAAGCTCATAAAGCTGCCCTAGTACCCGCTTTTTCTCCGGTCGTATGGAGCTCAAAATCTCATCCTAATAATTGCGGGCCACTTGCGTAAAACCACAATCTTGGAGTGGAACTGTCGCGGCTTCGCACGTAGGCGTACTGTGCTCCAGCAGTTTCTTGCTTTACACGATCGTCCAGAAATCCCAGCGGTTGAGGAGGGTGGCACGCATGCTCAATCAGCTGGATACAAGACATACACGTTAGGACGCGCCAACTCTAGTGAAACGAGAAACGAATGTGATCCCTCATAATATAGGCTCTAATTTCTCTGATCTAGAAGTTTCGCCCTTCCCTTCTCGTGAAACTGATCACTGTCTTATTGTGCTCAACGTCTAAAACCCTCCCCAGGATCACCAGGTCTCATTCGGTCCTTCATTTCTCTGTGTTCAACATCTAAGCTACCACCACCCGCATAACATAGTGGGGGACTTCAACCCTCTGCACCCATTATAGGTCACCATTGAGTTTCTCAATATACACTAGAGAGAACTATGGCGCTAGTGTCTGAGGGAGCTGCAACGCACGGGGCTTCAACAAGCATAGGAATGATGGGTAGTACACAGATTTTTCCGATCATTGTACTTGTGGCCTGCTACTGGCTATATGTGTGTTCGTGCTGCTTGGAGCTGCTTTCTTACAAAACAATTTAACAAAGTTGAGCAATTGCCCTTGTTTACATTATTCTTTTAGGCTTATCAATTTGAATCGAGTCACGTAATTGAAAAAGATTCGTTCTTTTTTCTCAAAATGAAACTAAAACCAGCAATAAGCAAAGCCACAAGTGCGATTCGCCGCTCTCAAGTACGAAGGCTAGGCGAATCTGTGTACTACGCATCATTCCCATGGTGGCTGAAATCGCAACGCCAAAGTTACCTCTAGTAGTTAATTTTAGAAAACTATGTAGGTTGCCGCTACAACTTTCTTGAAGGCCGTTTTCTATAGGAATAGTGGCACTCACTACGCCTGAATCTTCTTACGAACGCAGCACATTCCATGCGTAGAGGGGTAGTAGTGCAGCGTGACACCACAACGGATTCCGCCTTCGTAAGACCTGGAGTAAATGCCACCTAGTGCAATGCACAAGAAACTTTCGGCAGTGGCTATTATGTTCTGGAAGCAGTTATTTAGGAACCTACACGTGAGCGTCTTCGTTCATCAGCCTGACTCACTGGGACCGCTTTCGCACCAAACGCCAGGCATCTAGAACGTCGCAGCGTATTACTGATATATTCCTTATGCTCAGCTACCCTCCTCCAGCATGTCACTGATGCCACAATGAATGTCGAAACTGAGGAGTCGGTAACTAGCTTTGACAGATACTACGCCAAACTTTGGGCGCGAAAACGGGAACTTGATACCCTGCTGCAGGCCCGAAATTCGGATTAAGACATCCGCCCCTGGTTGGCACGAAAGCACACAAACACTGAAAACTATGTCATAGAACTCACCCATCAGAGCTGAAACAAGATCTATTCCGAATGGATGAGTTTCCTAATTCTAAGAACGCACGGCCACTCCTGCGTCATTTGCTTGATCCTGATAGTGATAAATGGCCAGCTAAATATCAGTTTGAACGTATCTTTCTTGAATTTTTCAGCTATACCGCTGCTTTATATATTGAGTTCATTAACGACTGCATTCATTTTGGACCCGTCATCTGTCTTCAGGCATATGACGGTGTTGATAACCCACCCCTTGATGCTCCCTTGACTATAGCAGAAGCGTGGGCCGAGCTTAACATTCTCACGACGGTTCTGCAGCTGGTCCAGATTGATCCTTCAGTCGCATGCACCGCAACTTGAACGAATCTTTCATGGAAGCACTCACGGACCATACGCAGCAACGTTGGGAGCAATTCACCATTTCTCAGAGCTGAAAACTTTCCAACGTCATCCTGATTACCAAACCGGGAAAAATTCCCACACTAGCCAACTTGCGTCCCATCTCTCTCACATCCACTGTAGGCGAACATAGCATGTTCTCCAGACCCGTCTTATCTCCTCATTGGAGGATCATCATGTACTTCTCGATGCCATGTTCCGCTTCTGTGTAAACCAGGTGGTACCGGATATCAAGCTCCTACTCAAACGCCAGGTGCTATAAAATCGCACTCTGGACATCGAAGTCATTATTGGTCTTGCTGTTTCCAAAGCTTTTGATAATCTAGAGCACTCTGCCATCCTGCATAATTCAGCAGTTTTGGGAGTGGAGAAGAGGACGTATGCATACGTGAGGGGTTTCCTAACCAATCACAAAATGCAACATCTCACCAGTGATAGAAAGGCTCCGTGCCATCCCAACTCTTCAAAGTTGAACGTTAGAAATTCCCAAATTTTTAACTGAACTGCGGAATCTGCATTACACACTAAGTCAATAACCTCAACTAGGGGTAGCGTTAGTAAAATCAAATAAACCGTACACAAAGCCATCGACCACGTGGGCAGCTATCTATACGATAGGCCTCTCCTGCTCGGCAACGAAATCTATATATAATTTCATCACATCACAGGGACGCAAAACAAAGCAGTCCTCTTTGTATCTACAATTGTAGAGATAGATAGATAGATAGATAGATAGATAGATAGATAGATAG